TGTCTTCAATCTGGATGTTGAGACTGGAAGACACACTTTAATACCAGCCATACCTTCTGTAATATGTGTGTATGTGCATATATATATATATATATATATACACAAATGTGTATGTTTTTATGAATTTAAACAATAATTTATATGTATCTGTGCATGTGGCATATATATGTATATACAATAACCAATAAAACAAAAGAAGCCATAGATTGAAAAGATTACCATACAAAAAGGAAATATAAAAATTGAAGCATTTGGATGAGAAAAGGTAAGTAGAAAATGGTATGATTGCGCAATAATCTCAAAATAAAATTGTTTTCAGGTAATATTTTATCTTTCTTGGGCTTGTGTCTCTCAAAGATATTTATAACTAAATAGTTGTACCTTTTTGTCATCAAATTTAGAAGAGAAGGTTGCAAATGAGATGTAAAATTTATAAGGTTGAGAGAAATAAAAGTTTAAGTTTTTTATCTAAGAAACTATGCTAGTATAAAAGGATATTTTTAGGATGACAAAAGTTATGATAGAACGTGGTTTAGGTATAAAACTTTGGACTCCCCAAGATAGGATAGATAATAGAATACTTTCTCCAAATTTTCAAATACTACAGAACTTTAGATTTTGTGAATGAAATTCCTACAAGATAATTTTTCTGATGAAAAATAGATTTGCTGGGGTAGAGTTAAAACGTTTGCTTTTTATTTAGAAAAAATGGGGAAGTGTTTTAGGATATTTGGCCTTACTGTGAAACTCCAAAGTTGTGTTAATAAAATTTCCCTTGGGACAGGGGCTGAGCAAGTGACTGGAGACAGGAAGTACCAGAGAAAGGACAGAGAAGTCAGAAATAAGGATAAAGAGATGCACAGAAAATAGTAGGGAGTCGCTTAGAAATTTACCTCTTCTTTCATTTGGGATGTCTGAGGAGATGTTACTCTTGTTTGGTGTCTGCCAAAATGGAAGGTTAGTTAGTTGTTTATTAGTTTCTCTGATCTAGGAGGATTTTACCTTCAAATCTGACTCTAGAGTCTTTACTGTTACATAGATTGATAGAGACTGAGATAAAACCTACATTTGACAGCCATACCCTAGGCAGTTCCAGAGATATGAGAATTCCTCGTAGACTATGTTGAACTAATTCTTCTGATATACAAGTAACTTCACTTCTTTACTCATTGAGTGGTGTGGAATGTCCTTTTGTATGTGTTGCTTTTATTGGTTAATAAAGGAGTTGTTTTCAGTCAATGGCTTAAAAGAATATAGTCAGGCTGGAAGAGAGAGAGAGAGAGAGAGAGAGAGAGAGAGAGAGAGTAGGAAGTATCAGTGTATCAGGGAGAAGTCATGTAGCTGCCTTTGGAGACAGATGCCTTGGCTGGAGTCTATTGGAACTTTGTCAGTAGGCTACGTGGCAATACACAGATTAAAAGAAATGGGTTAATTTACGATATAAGAGTTAGCCAGAAATACAATTAAGGTTTGGTCAAACATTGTTTCAATCAATACAGATTTCTATGTGGTTATTTTGGGTCTGAGCAGCCAGGAAAGAAACAAGCAGCCTTAGGTTAATATAGATTAATAGTTAGCCATTTATAATAGTCAAGCTTGTAGTCATGTTAGTTAAATTTTCTAGATATGCAGAGATATATTTCAGTTAGATAGGTATTCTTCAAATCTTTCAGAGTCCTTAAGAATATGGCATTTAAATGTTTAAAAACTTAAGACTTTTATGACAGTGAGACACATCCTTTCTTGGCAGCATCAAGCTACTTCAAGAAAATTAAAGAAGCTCTTTTTGGAGTTAGTTGACCATTTGATGGATGTGAAATGATAGGTGAATCAATGATGATCAGGTGTAAATAAATAGAACCTCAATGCAATGTACAAAATGAATGGAATTTATGAAAGTATTTTTTTATATTTTATTTTTTTATTGAGGAAAGGAAAATAAAGTTTCCCCCTCCTCCCAGCCTCCCATTTCCCTCTCACTCCTCCCACCCTTCTCCCCCTCCCCCCACTCCTCTCCCCCTCCCTCTCCAGTCCAAAGAGCAGTCAGGGTTCCCTGCCCTGTGGAAAGTCCAAGGTCCTTCCCTCTCCGGCCATGTCTAGGGAAGTGAACATCCAAACTGGCTAGGCTCCCACACAGCCAGAACATGAAGTAGGATCAAAACCCCGTGCCATTGTCCTTGGCTTCTCATCAGCCCTCATTGTTCGGCATGTTCAGAGAGTCCGGTTTTATCCCATGCTTTTTCAGTCACAGTCCAGCTGGCCTTGGTGAGCTCCCAATAGATCAACCCCACTGTCTCAGTGGGTGGGTGCACCCCTCGTGGTCCTGACTTACTTGCTCATCTTCTCCCTCCATCCGCTCCTCATTGGGACCTTGGGAGCTCAGTCCAGTGCTCCAGTGTGGGTCTCTGTAGAAAACATTATCCTGAGTGAGGTAACCCAGACCCAAAAAGATGAACATGGGATGTACTCACTCATAATTGGTTTCTAGCCGTAAATAAGGGTCGGAGTCTACAATTGGTGATCCCAAAGAAGCTAAGTAAGAAGTTGAACCAAAGGAAAAACATATAGTTATCCTCTTGGCTATGGGAAGTAGACAAAATTGCTGGGGAGAAAAGTGGGATCTTGGGGTGGGGTGGGTTGGGGGGTAAGGGGAGATGGGGAGAGAAAAGTGAGAAGGGGAGGATGGGGGGAACTTGGGGAAATAGGATGATTGGGATAAAGGAAGGCTGGACAGGGGAGCACGGAAGCACAATTCTTAGTTAAGGGAGCCACCTTAGGGTTGGCAGGAGACTTGAACCTAGAGTGGCTCCCAGGAGCCCAAGGAGATGTCCCCAGTTAGTTCCTTGGGCAGATGAGGATAGGGAACCTGAAACGACCCTATCCTATAGCAATACTGACGAATATCTTGCATATCATCATAGAACCTTCATCTGGTGATGGATGGAGATAGAGACAGAGACCCACACTGGAGCACTGGACGGAGCTCCCAAGGTCCTTATGAAAGTATTTTTTAAAGATGCTAACTCTCTAAAAGAAACTTAATGCTTGCATTCTAGGAGACAAACCATCTTTACAGATCTTCATCACAGAAATAAAGGATGCACTGAGAAACAACAACTATTTCTCCAGTGCTAAATGATGAGGCTTTTAAAGAAGCATACTGAGCTTATTTTGACCAAAATAAAGTGTGTAAATTTGGGAATTTTATAGCAATATAAGTCAGTTAGAAAGCAGTGCTTGCTGTTTGTAGATAAAGGAAATACCCAAGAATTTGGCTCAATAATGTTCAATGATTTACAAAATCAAACTGTTGTGAAAGTCATGTTGCAAAAATGTTGACATTATTTACTAGATTCTTGTTTATTTTAATTGGCACTGAATAAGGTCAATATTGAACGTTAGACAAAGTTGTTAGGAACTGACTGTTACAATTAAGTGGAATGTTTCTGTGCAGACAAAGATGTGAAGCTCAATTGGTGTGGCCTCAAGCCCTACACTTCCTACCACCTCCAGGTTCTAGTTTGATTAGAAATTTGAATCTCTATCTCCCAGGTTTTAAATCACAAATTGGATTAATATTTTTTCAATAAATAAAATGAATCCATTGTAAATAAATAAATGATTAGGAATTAACAGAACCAGTTTAGGAATGAATGATAAAATGTGATGTTGGCAAGTATCAAGAGGATAATTTCCCGTAATAAGAAATTTGAGAAACTGCTTAGATCAATCAGAACAAACAGGTACCTTATTTACAGAGGGAGCCTTTGCTTGACCAATGCAATTACCTTTCAAATAACCAACATAAATCTTCTGGTATTCATGTACCTAATTTTTCTCTATATATTCTTTGTATATGTGTTGCTCTCATTGGTTAATAAAGAAGTTGCTTTCAGCCAATGGCTAAACAGAATATAGCCAGGCTGGAAGAGATATATATAGAAAGAGTAGGAAGTGTCAGGGAGAAGCCATGTAGCCACCTCTGGAGACAGACACCTCTACTTGAGCCTATTGGAAGCTTGCCAGTAGGCCACAGCCACATCACAATACAAAAATTAAGAGAAATGGGTTAATTTAAGATATAATAGTTAACCAAAAATACGTTTAGGCTATTAGCCGAATAGTGTTGTAATTAATACAGATTTCTGTGTGGTTATTTCGGGTCAGAGCAGAAGGGAAATGAACACATTGACTCTAGAAATAGATTTGAGTGCCAGTTGCCAGAATTCCAATGTCAAGTCGAAGACAGCTTTAAAAAATGGATTCTAGACCCACAAAAATGGGAGCCTAGTGCAACTGTCCCTGATGTTAAGCTGACTTTTGGAAGCATGGTCCCCATGGAGGATTTCCTAGCCCAACCTTGATGCAAGTGGAGGAGCTAGGTCCTGCCTCATCTGATGTGCCATGCTTTATTCCAGCCTGTGGGTTCTGCCCCTTTCTAAAGGGAGAAAGGGGAGGAGTGGAAGGGAGTCAAGTAGATGGAAAGCAGGGGGAAACTGGTAGAAGAGGAGGGAAGGGAAAACTGTGTTTGGTATGCAAAATAAGTGAAAAAATTGTATACAAACTAAATAAATCTTATTTTATAAACTAAGAAAACAAAAGACACACAGTAGAAAGATAAGAAAATGCAAATATGGACAATTTTGGATGAAGAAAATGAAACTGTAAAATGACAAAATTATTCTATAATTTCAGAATAAAATATTCTAAAAATTAACTATTTTCAAATAAAGACAGGATCTCAAAATATCAATTTCATTGTTCATATTTATCAACAATATATCATCATAACTCTGTAAAAATAGGTGAAAATCACTAAGAGGCACCCTAAAAAAGGACAAGGTGAAATAACTGTTCACTTTTAACTTTTGTTATCACAGGGACAGAGTCTACTTGGAAGAGAGCTGAAACAGTACCTAGTTGGTTTCTCAATTATGCTCCAAAGTACAAGAGGTCAGATCCCATGGCCACATTATAAAACCTCTGTACTACATGATCACACTTGTGCCTGTGGGAAGGCTATCCATGGATCTAGTCATGGTCTCGGTGCTCATTCTGACATGTCTGCTTCTCTTCTCACACTGGAAACAAAGTTCTACACGAGGAAAGCTACCTCCTGGACCTACTCCTCTGCCAATTATTGGCAACATCCACCAGATAGATGTAAAAAATGTTCACCAAGCCTTTACCAATGTGAGTACACTTCATGCTTGTCTGGCACTTTGTATAGAGAGATATGAGTGATGCTGCTTTCAGAGAAACTCTAGTACTAGAGAACATATTTTTAAATGGGTGCAAAGTGAAAAACAGTAAAGTTGTTTTTGTCTTTTCTGAGACTTGCCTATAGTACTGCAGTTGGAATTAGTAATAAGCAAGATTTCAGGTTACAGAATATTAAGGACACTGATTTATAATATAATCACAGAATTAAAAGTTTTATCTACTTTTTCAAATCCTTCTTTCATAAACATTTTCTATTATTTTACTGATGTTGAAGACAGAGGGATTATAGTGAGATTTTGTGATCTAACAAATAAATATTGCCTAAAGAACAAAGTATAGAACTAATTTCAGGTATGTGTTAATTAAATTAGAACTAATTAAATATATGTGCAGTGGTGGCACATACCTTTAATTCCAGGACTTAGAAGAAAAAAGCAGGCAGACTTCTGTGAGGTAAAAGCCAATCTGGGCTACACTATACTGGTCCAGTCTCAAAGGAAACAGAGCCATGTGGTAGTGGCTCACACCTTTAAATCAAGTACCAGGGAGGTAGAGAAGGGAAGTGATATAGTTGGGCAGAGAGGGAACACAAGGCGGGAGGAAACAAGAGCTCAGATGTGCTCTGAGAATGCCATATGAGGATACAGTCTGTGCATTCAGTCTGAGGATTCAGTCTGGAGATGCAGTTTGAGGTTCAAAAGACAGGATCACACCTTTGAATCTGAGAATTCTACAGAGGTAAAAGTCCCTCTAGTGGCTGGCTGCACTGTTTCTCTGATCTCTCAGCTTTCACCCCTAATATCTGACTCTAGGTGTTTAATATTAGGACCAATTGGAATTAGCATTAAAATGAATATTTATTTAAATGAGTCATAATTGTAGAAAACATTGTTCTTGGATTTTTCATTTATGCCCTACTCTGTAGAATTAAATGGATCCTGATTAAAAGTAAAGTAATGGGCAGGTGATTACATAGGAAAAGGAAACCATAAACAGTGTGGCGTAGCTTATACTGTGGTTTTCCGATCTCCTTTGATTCCATACAAATCCTATGCCTGGGACCAAAAATACTTCATGATGAGGATATTTTTTCTACAGTTCTGTATATTGTGGTGCAGCTTCTGTGACGCTTACTCTGTACTTTTGTAACAATAGATGAGGACTGTATTTGAACTCTTGTGCTGACCCAAGAGTTTAGATGTTTACCCTTCTTCACAGGTTTTGTAATTTTTAACAGAAAGTATTCACAGCTGGGTCCACAGAAGTCATGTGACTATTAGTTCAGTATGTAGTTAGCGAGAGAATGATCTGCATTATCCAAAAAATGGATAAGCATAGTGTGGATTTGAAGGCTCTACTCCTTTGCATTAGAACCCAGGAAATGAGTGTGAAATTTTTACTTCAGGTACTTTGTAAAATATGACAAAGTGATCTGTTGAATATCATAGTAAGGTGGTTCTTTCTCTTTAGACTTAAGTGGCCTGGGATATTGCTTGGCACCCAGAAGGTCATTTATATGAAACAATCATCATATTGAAAGGTATATACAAACTTCAAACTTAGTTTTTCTTCATAAAAATATTTTAACACAGATCTATTGCCAGTATGAAGAGGTCAACTACAGTGACAATTTTAGAATATTTGTTTCCTATTATCATTACAGTTCTCTAAAATCTATGGCCCTGTGTTCACTCTGTATTTTGGCATGAAACCCGCTGTGGTGTTGCACGGCTATGAGGCAATAAAAGAAGCTCTCATAGGTCATGGGGAGGAGTTTAGTGGAAGAGGAAAAGTCCCTATTTTTGATATGGTTTTGAAAGGCTTTGGTAAGTATGCATGTGCTTCTGTGTATTCCTTGGTAGTATATATAGTGAGAAGGAGGGTGGAAATTACGTCATGTTTGCTCTTCAGGAATAAGTTTGGGACTCTATATGTGTGACCAGTCTGTTCCTTTATCTATCTCGCAGACATACTCCATAGTCTTCTATTCCAATTTTTTTAGGCATTGGTTTTAGCAATGGAGATGCATGGAAAGAAACAAAGCACTTTTCACTCTTAACCCTGAGAAAACTGGGTATGGGGAAAAGAAGTATTGAGAACCAAATTCAAGAAGAAGCACAGTTCCTTGTGGAGGAACTGAAGAAAACCAATGGTAAGTGCAGGTTTATAAGCTGACGTTTACATCGTGTTCTATGTATATCTGCATCAGTCAATTTTTCCCATCCTATTCAAAGCATTGTTTTCTAAAGAGATGTCATGGGTATGGGTCTCATGTTAATTTTCTATAGCATTATGGAGCCATACATTCCACTCATCAAAAAAAGGGTTTTGCTTTGCTTATCATCTCGCCGCAATACAATTTCCAATAGCAATAGTTACTGATCAAACATAAGAACCCTAGCAAAGATTGAATTAGCTTTCTTTCCTTCATATTCCATTTCTACACTTTTCTTTCTTTCTTGAACAGCAATGATCTAGACTTCTTCTCTAAAGTGTCTAAGGGTCCATTTTGTATTTTGTTTGTAGTTTTTGGCAACTGTGGCATGATGTAATAATTTTATTTCTCATATGAGTGTAGTAGAATTCTTTTTGATTAGTGTATCTCAGCTGTTTGCATGGTATCAGAACGGTATTGTTATTTCTTCTTGCATAACATTTAGGCTTTGATTTATGGCCTTAATAAAACATGTTTCAACACAAATATTCAAAATAAATTTACACTTGGAAATAACTAAACTTAGTAATTTTACTTAAAAAGTTGGCTTGGTTGGTTCTCTAGCATTTCCCTGTGTGTGTTCATTCTTCATGTCATTTTCCCCTTTAAGGTTTTGTGTTAGAAAAGTGATGGTTGTTTCTTTGCCAACACTCTGGATGCTACTCCTGTTGCTTATGAATGAACAGTCTTATTATGTCTGTGCATCAGTAAGTGAATTTGTTTTAGCATTCTTGAAAAATATAATAAAAGACTGCCTATCAGATTGTATATATGATTGACATACACACATACAATAACAATGTCAAAATCTTACCTTCCATATGCTCTGCTTTAACAAAGCATATTGATTAGAGTATTGTACTATGTTAATTGTATGGTAAAATATCAGTAAGTTCTAAGAATTTCTTATGCTTACTAACCAACTTTGTCAAATCAATTGCCCTTATTTGAGTATACATTAATTAGGATCAACTTCAATACAAACAATTTTTGTCTCTTGGTCACAGCAAATTCACCACTGAAAGGAATAAAAACAGAAATAGTCATTTTCTCCTATCGAGATATTCTCTTTTGTGTGGTCATAAAAATAATCTAGCCAAGTGTGTGATATCATCCATAGGATGTTGATTCTTTCCACATCATCAGAAATGAAGGAACAGCATGAAAAGATAAGAACTCAGTTTAGGTTGATGGAGCATTTACTCGTCTGATATTTTTTTCTTTTTTGCTAACTGTAGTTTGTGTCAACTTGACTAAAACTAATCAACACAGAACCCGATTACTCATTTTCTATACTGGTGAAATCAATCACATGATCTATGTAATATATATATTTTAGTCATTTCTGGATACACTATCACGATACTTACTCTAAAATAGCAATGAAAATATCCACAACTGTCAGTTTGCCCAAATGTATTGAATGTGAAGTTTGGCATAATAAATAATATTTCTTTATATTGTTGAAAATCCACTGGATTCTGGGATGAGAACGTGGAGACAAGTTTCTAATGACAGATTATGAACTTTGTTTTAAGTCACACTGATTTTTTTCTCCTCCGTTTTCTTCTATTTTTTCTACTTACCATCCAGTTTTCCTTTTATCATACTTTCACTACAGGTATTAACATGAAATAATTCTTTTGTAAGCAGCTAAATTCACAGTTTTAATCATGTATATGTGAAAAGGAGAGTCTTCAATAGTTTTCTCGTGATTTTTGCTTTACCTGTAATGGACTTTGCAAATATAGGCTATGATACAATTTAGTTATGTAAACAGATCATGTCATAGTTAAACTTGTTGCATTTACATTTTCTTCCCATAGATCACTGATATTCCCTATTTTTCATTTTTTCTCCTAATTCTTTGATGTTTCTACATGATTCCATATATTCCAATTACTAGCACAATAGATTGTAATTTTTTGTTTTGCTTTGGGTTTTTTTTTCTCCCTTGCTTATTGAAATAGGATGTCTCTGTGTAGAGCTGAATGGCCTGGAAGTAGATCTGTAGACAAGGCTTGCATGGAACTCAGATTCACCTATGGCTCACAGAATTGTCCTCTCCAGTTTTCCAGGATTAGGTACTACTGACACAGATGGGAGCATTGCTGAGATTGGCCCATAGGCTTCTCAGCCCTGCACACACAAGCACAGAAAAACTGTCAATCCTGACAGATTCCAGGGACTCTTTTCCCTTTCAGTGATGAGCCCCAAGGGCTTATATCTTTATTTGAGAAAGGAGATGTTGAGTCGTCACTGGTACCTATTCTCAGAAAATATTTCACAGAAGCAAAAAGATTAAAATTTAGTAGTAAAAAATGTTTTCATGTAAGTAAGAAAGAACACTTGAAGTAAATTATGTCAGTCCCGGCTGCAGGAGCTACAAGACCTTATTCTTTAGAAAAACAAAACATAACAAATTACAATGAAAGAAACATTGACCTCTATGTTAAAACAACTGATATGCCAAAGTACCTGTCAAAGTCAATCGCACTGTCTCAAACACTTTTATTACAATAACTTGCCTCATTTGATTGCCAAGGATGAGGAATAAGACTAGAATGAAAAGAGTTGTAATCAATTCAGTTATATCTCAGTCAGTTATAATCAACATGGATAATATTTCAAAGGCCTCCAGCAGTTCCACCTAAATATTTTGTTTGTGACCTTAGAAGCACAGACCCATTTTGATGTCAAGAATCACTACTATATTTTCACTGGCTCTTATAAGACAAATAAGCTGCAAGACATTTTGATATATTTATAAAAGTTTTTTTTTCTGTCCTAACTGTGAGAATCTTGAAACAGATCTGCATGTCTTGCCAAAGGGACAAACAATAGCTGATTCTTATAATGTCTGTGGGTATCAAATTGGTTTCACATATATCATAAACTCTGGACATTCATTATCAAAAATCCTAGTGAGAATGGTGACAACAATTGAAGAATTAAAAGAAAAGTGAAGAAGACAAGGATACGACATATCATAAAGGAGATGTGTGATGCAGACCTTTAAGTGGTACAAATCTTTCCCAGATGGATGGAAATAGACTCTAAAAATATATATTTCAAAAGGATTTGCCAAAGTGATTTGTGTTCAAATAGGATCAATAATAAAATTTTGAAAGATGTGGAAAAAGTATCTTCTCATGATAAAAGAAAAGATAACATTGAACATATTTACGTGGTATATTTAAAAATGTAAGTATACCAAAGATTAAAATGGTGTTATCTGCCAAAAATGAGATGAGGACATTGATGTTGGTGCCACATATATAGATGGATGTAACTTAACTTAAAAACGTAATGCCAGAAAACCTTTTTTATTATAAGCCAGCAGTGCCCATGTACATACAAGAGATGAAATGGTTTAATATCATGCTACAACTCATATGAAAATGCTATTATTGTGAATGATCTTGAAGTAAGCCCAAAACGATAACTAGAGAGTCCTTATGCATTACTGAGTAATGGAAGTTTGTTCATTTGATAAATGTTTTAGAACACTAGTATTGGACTCATCATACCTCATTTATATAGCTAACAAAATAAATAATTAATATTAGTCATTGTTCCATCTTTGGACTGTGAATAGTCTGTTAATGTAATTGGTTAATTTTTAGGATGTAGTGCCATTTATTGTAAGATCCTTGAACTTGGTAGGTTTTTCTGTTACACAACTTGTAGAATACAAACAAAACTTTTTAGTGACCTTACCTATTAGGATACAGAATGCTCTAAAAGTGTCATCAGTATCCTTTCAAATGGGCAATGGGTAATTGCTGTAATTCAGATGATCAAATGACAGTGTGACCTCCTCACGAGAAGTAAAAATGATCTGCTTATTTTAAGAAAAAAATTTTTAGTCATCGAGTTATGACTTTTCAGTTGGTATATGGCCACCCCAACGTTTGCTTGTAACTGTGTTCATTGCTTGTAACTGTGTTCATTGCACATTGGATGATCCAGGGTAATTATAAACCAACAAACATTTTTCATGTGTTCTCTGGTTGATTTGTCCTGAGATTAAAGCTTTGATGTGTGGTTAAACGTAAACTCTTATACTACTACTTAGGAGAATCCAGAAAAAGGAGCATTTACTCTCTAGCAGAAATGAGTAGAGATTTTCACATTTTAATCTCATAATAGAATTTTGGTATGTTTAGTAATACTGTATGTTGGGTATGGTATGCTTCCCCTTTACTCCCTAGAATAACCTACAATTTAATGCCTTTCATTTTTATATATAATAGCCTGTATGTACTTCAGGTTTGGATTACAATCTTGCCAAAATAATTGTTACTGAGTACTATTTACTCCACGATCCCCAATTGTCTTTTTTGAAGGGAAAACCAAAGTCAGAATTAAATAAGTAAATAAAAATCATTTTTCAGATAATAGCACGTAATTCAGGTTAAACCAGCCAGTAAAATAGACGTGATATCTTCTTATTAAACTAGTAAGTTTGAAGATGAACTGAAAAGTAATGTAGATATGATTGTGTATTATTCACCAGGTAGATTTATAGTAGTTAAGAATATTCAGAATTACATTCCATTTAAAATGTTTAAATTACTTTCAGTAGTTAACAAAGAGCAACATTTCTTCTTCATATATTTTATTAATATTTGGCATTTGTTTCTAACTCTTCAGGCTCACCCTATGATCCCTCCTTCATCTTGACCTGTGCTCCCTGCAATGTCATTTGCTCCATTATTTTCCAAAATCGTTTTGAATATAATGATCAAGTTTTTGTTAGCTTGATAGAAAAACTGAATGCGAACAGTAAGATTCTGAGCTCTCTCTGGGCACAGGTAAATCCAATATCCTTTCCTTATGAGAACACACTTATGGTCTTTCTTCCTTACAGCTCAAATTCAATATGGATCATGAGGGAAGGAGGTAAACAGCTGAGAAGGGCTAATGTATTATGGAAATAATTCTTGGAAGGGAGGTCTAAACCCATAAGTATACAAATAGCAAAAACTTAGATGCTGATGCCAACTAACTCAAGCCTAATTGTTTCTTATCCATGAATCTCCCTGTATTTACTACTGAATTATTTCTTAAAATACTGCATTTGTTTATATAAGAGTGATCTGTCATTCTCTGATTTAGGAGAGCAGGGCCCCTTTTTCTGTCTTGTCCAAGCTAGCTTACACATGGAATAATCACCCAGAAACTGTATTCATTTAAACACTGCCTGGCCCATTAGGTCTAGCCTCTCATTGACTAACTCTCACATCTTGATTTAAGCCATTTCTAATAATCTGTATGTCACCATGAGGTCGTGGCTTACTGTGAAAGATTCAGCATGTCTGACTCTGGCAGCTCCATGGCGGCTCTCTCACTCTGTTTTCTTTCTTCCAGAATTCAGTTCTGTCTTCTCCACCCACATAAGTTCTGCCCCATCAAAAGGCCAAGGCAGTTTCTTTATTCAACCAATGAAAGCAACACATAGACAGAAGGACCTCCCACACCTATTCAAAGGGCCTTTTACTAACCAAATACTTTATCTTCTTTTCATTAAGCCAACTCTGAACATAATACTAGGGAGCTTTATTTCAGTGTAGACAGAATATTCTCTCAAAGGAGGAAAAATACTATTGGCAAAGAAAGCTGACAGTAAACACTGAGTACTCCTGTCATTCAATGGGTCAGTTGGGATTCTAGTTTATAGGTTGTCAGTAAAAATGGAAAGATGTATGTTTTAATGCTATGTGGACCATAAATATCCTCATAGAATTGCTCTAGTATGAACGAAAGTTTCTTGCTCTATGCATACAAAATGATTGTTTGATCAAAGAGAAAACCCTAAGGCCTATGTGGTGCAATTAATTTTACCAAACACACATTTCTTTGAACCAAACCCACCACTAAAGAGTCATTGCATTTTGAAGATAATCAATAGATATTGAATCTGGGGCACTAGATTTTTCTGTAAATGTTACCCCCAAATTTTTAACTTATATTGTCACATTGAAAGTGTGTGAGTGTTTAAATCACATGTATTTCAAACTGTAGGACAGGATTCATTTGAGCCTTAAATGAGTTTACATGAACAAAATTTTTGTTAAGAGATATGGTGAATATGGAAATTATACTAAGATCATTAACTATTATGGGAGAAATTTCTTCCTCAAATCTCTCTATTAGAATAAAGAATGTAAACAATGAATTTATGATGAATATGAATCATTCCTCTATCTAGCAATTCAAATCCTTCATATGACCCATTACTAATATATTTTACTTAGGTCAATACAGTGTCTATTTTTTGTAAATTCTTGCATTTTCTTGCAGCTTTGCAATATGTTCCCTGTTCTGATTGATTATTGTCCAGGGACCCATAATACATATTATAAAAACTTGACTTCTATTCAGAGTTACCTTTCGGCAAAAATAAAAGAACATGAGGAATCCTTGGATGCTACCAACCCTCGGGACTTTATTGATTATTTCCTAATTAAAGGAAGGCAGGTAAAGTGCTAATATTCATTTGTTCAATTATTAAATTGGTAAAGTATTTTATACTTATTTGAAGTGATGTTTAAAACCATGTCAGTATCATTTGAAAAACAATTTAGTATTGTTATGTGTGTGTAAGCCTGAAAAAAAAATGGTTAAAATTGTTAATAAAAGCCCATTGACCCCGTTTTTTTATTTAAAACCAAAAAAGAAAAATTCATAAAAATCTAGCATAGTAGAAAAACTACACAAAAGGCAAACAAAAGGAAACAAATTTCAATATAGTCATAAATCATAAACTTTTCTGTCTACTTTGAGCACCAATATCATCAATGACTGTTTTTTGATCACTTACATATCATATAGATTAAAAGAGATCAGTACACATTTTTACTGATCGACGCCACATATGACTTCTAAAGGATGAATGATGTGTACCATGGGGAATAGTAGGTGGATGAAAGAGTAAAGCTTTGAGTATAATTCCTCATGAGTTAATAAATTAATACCAGTGCGGTTAGAGATTGGGTTTGCTTCAGGATTAACTGTTAGCAATGTGTAATTTCAGAAAGTGTTTCTCCACAATTTACTTTGCACTCTTATTTAGAAAAAAACTAATGATAAATATTCTGGTGTGATGCGAGTCAGTTGTACTTCCATTTTCATGGTTTGTATATTTTTATAGTGGTTCAGTGTCTGAAGTCTTTTTTATTGAATTATTATATCAGTATTTAAAATCCAGAATTGTGAATCCCTGAAATTTGCTACATGTTTCTCACAGAATGCTTAACCATTCTGAATCCTTTAAATTTCCACATGAATTTAAGATATGTTGTCAATATTTGTAAAGAGGCCAGTAGAAATTCACACAGACTGCATTTAAATTGTCAATTATTTAAGGGGGTTGAGCAATTTGAAAAACAGAGATAATATTAACATATGTTACCAGTCTCCAATTTGAAGCACTGACGACCTTCTAGTTTCAAAATGTTGTGTCACTCTACCAAACACACCAAGCCATTAACAATTTCTTTCCAAACTCCATGTCATCATTAGTAACTGTGAGTGTAATTTTTCTCTTTATGGACTTTCCTGTATCTCTCTGGCAGAGTATACTGACATCTAAAACACTTCTCAGTAGAGGGCATTTACTTTCTGTCTTTCGGCACGTGCATAATGTCTTGGATGCTCCTAAAATTTCAGCTTGTTTCTGTACTGTGGTCACCTGTTACTGCAACCTTCATTTACAAGCAGGAGAACAACACACTCATTCGTCATTCTTTGTCTTTGCATTATTTCTACCTCTGACTCTTCTGAGTCAGAAACATGTGTGCATGTGATTCTTGATGGCAGGTTTTCAGTTTCTTTGTGCATATCTCCAGCACAGAGTTTCTGATTCATATTCATTTCATATTTATATTTGGGGAGAACACACAAAATTTTCAACTAACAGTTTATGATTCACATCTTGCAGAATCTTTATTTTTGGTTTTTAAGTTTTCTTTCATGTTTAAGAGACTTTTACCTTTTTTTCCTCGCCTACATATTATCCCGTGTATATCTGGCTATCAAAGTATTTTGCATCTTGATGTGTGTGCCAACACCACACTGCATTCATTGCTGTAGGCTTCCATTTTGAGGGTTCAGATCTTTCTCCATAGTTTCACTTGAATCTGTGGACTTGTTTCTTATTTGATTTTTAGTACAGATAGAAGTGACTCATTAGATTACTCTGAGGAATAATACCTCCAAACTTTTAATGTTACTCCAAATTTCAGCACTGTGCATGAATTGATTTTCCACTTATTTATATATTTTTCAACTTCTTAGATCCAGAAATGGTTCTAAGTGTGTCAATCTTTCATGCATATAATTATGCAATACTAAATATTTTACAACAATTTAAATGTGATTACTTTTGATTTCATTTTAGTTCACTAATTTCTATAGTTCAGGTCATACCTAAGTTTAATTTTTTACTTCAAATTGCACTCATGGAATTTATTCGATTTGGTAAATTTTTCTTTTTCTATTTTTTTATTAATTTATACCAACTACAGTTTCCCATCTTTTCCATCCTTCTGTTCCAACCCCTTTCCTTAACCCACACCATCCACTCCTCAGAAAGGGTAAGGCCTCCCATGGGGAGTCAACAAGGCCTGGCACATTCAATTGAGGACTAAGCATCTCCCCAACAGCATCAAGTTTAAGAAAGATATCCCACCATTTGGAGTTAGCTTCAGAAAGCCAGCTCATGCTTTAGGGACAGATCCTGGTTCCACTGGCAGGGGTCCCAGGGAAAAAAAAGTCTACGAAATTGTGACCCACATAAAAAGGTCCTAGTTCTGTCCCATGTAGGCTCCCCAGCTGTTGGTCTAGAGTTCTTGAGTTTCCACAATTTTGGGCTTGACCCCATTTTCTCATATAAACCGTCCTCCGTCTTTTTGACTGGACTCATATAGCACATCCTGGTACTTGATGTGGTCTCTGCATCTGCTTCCATCAGTTACTGGATGAAGTTTCTATAATGATTGTTAGGGAATTCACCATTCTGATTACAAAGGAAGGTCAGTTTGGGCACCCTCTCCACTACTGCTATGGGTCATTTTTGTGGAATCCTTGGAATTTCCCTAGCATCAGGTTTCTCCATAACCCCATGATTCCCTCTGTTGCGATATCTCTTTCATTTCTCTCCACTCCGTCCTTCCCCCAACTTGAACATGAGAAATTTTTTTCTTTTGTAACTTGTGGTTTTTCTTTATATGACTGTGATGCAGTTATTATGGGGAGTAGGCAAAGTTAGCATATGTAGTTCCTGGAAATGAGACTGGGTGATTAGATATAGGGCAACAGAGGGACAGTAGAAGATATACAGTCAGAATACCTGCTTCCTTTGCAGGAGTTGTCTGTTTGTTAGCAGGAAGTGCTCTCTCTCTTTTTTTTTTTATTGAGAAAAGGAAAAAAAAATATCTGCCTCCTCCCAGCCTCCCATTTCCCTCCCCCCTCCTCCCACTCTTCTCCCCCTCCCCCCACCCTTCTCGCCCTCCCACCACTCCTCTGCCCCTCCCTCTCCAGTCCAAAGAGCAGTCAGGGTTCCCTGCCCTGTGGAAAGTCTAAGGTCTGCCCCCCTCCGTCCATGTCTAGGAAGGTGAACATCCAAACTGGCTAGGCTCCCACAAAGCCAGCACATTAAGTAGGATCAAAACCCCGTGCCATTGTCCTTGGCTTCTCATCAGTCCTCATTGTTCGCCACATTCAGCGAGTCCGGTTTTATCCCATGCTTTTTCAGTGCCAGTCCAGCTGGCCTTGGTGAGCTCCCTATAGATCAGCCCCACTGTCTCAGTGGGTGGGTGCACCCCTCGCGGTCCTGACTTCTTTGCTTATCTTCTCCCTCCTTCTGCTCCTCATTGGGACCTTGGGAGCTCAGTCCAGTGCTCCAGTGTGGGTCTCTGTCTCTATCTCCATCCATGACCAGATGAAGGTTCTATGGTGATATGTAAGATATTCGTCAGTATTGCTATAGGATAGGATCATTTCAGGTTCCCTATCCTCAATGCCCAAGGGACTAACTGGGGACATCACCTTGGGCTCCTGGGAGCCACTCTAGGTTCAAGTCTCTTGCCAACCCTAAGGTGGCTCTCTGAACTAAGAAATGTGCTTCCGTGCTCCCCTATCCAACCTTCCTTTATCCCAATCCCAATGTTTCCCCAAGTTCCCCCCATACTTCCCTTTGCACTTTTCTCTCCCCATCTCCCCTTATCCCCATCCCACCCCGCCCCCAAGATCCCAATTTTCTCCCGGGCAATTTTGTCTACTTCCCGTAGCCAAGAGGATAACTATATGTTTTTCCTTGGGTACACCTTCTTATTTAGCTTCTTTAGGTTCACCAATTGTAGTCTCCGTGACCCTTATTAATGGCTAGAAACCAATTATGAGTGAGTACATCCCATGTTCATCTTTTTGGGTCTGGGATACCTCACTCAGGATACTGTTTTCTATTTCCATCCATTTGCATGCAAAATTCGAGAAGTCATTGTTTTTTTACCGCAGCGTAGTACTCTAATGTGTATATATTCCACACTTTCTTCATCCATTCTTCCATTGAAGGGCATCTAGGTTGTTTCCACTTTTTAGCTATTACAAATAATACTGCTATGAACATAGTTGAACAAATGCTTTTGTCATATGATAGGGCATCTCTTGGGTATATTCCCAGGAGTGGTATTGCTGGGTCCAGGGGTAGGTTGATCCCGAATTTCCTGAGAAACCGAAACACTGATTTCCACATTGGTTGCACAAGATTGCATTCCCACCACCAATGGATGAGGGTACCCCTTCCTCCACAGCCTCTCCAGAAAAGGCTATATTTGGTGTTTTTGACTTTAGCCATTCTGACAGGTGTAAGATGATATCTCAAAGTTGTTTTGATTTGCATTTCCCTGATTGCTAAGGAGGTTGAGCACGACCTTAAGTGTCTTTTGGCCATTTGAACTTCTTCTGTTGAGAATTCTCTGTTCAGTTCAGTGCCCCATTTTTTAATTGGGTTAATTAGCATTATAAAGTCTAGTTTCTTGAGTTCTCGATATATTTTGGAGATCAGACCTTTGTCTGTTGCAGGGTTGGTGAAGATCTTCTCCCAGTCAGTAGGTTGCATTTTGTCTTAGTGACAGTGTCCTTTGCTTTACAGAAGCTTCTCAGTTTTAGGAGGTCCCATTTATTCAATGTTGCCCTTAATGTCTGTAAGGCTGGGTTTCTTACCATTGCTCGAGTGCTCTCCTGATTTATCTTTATATATCTTCTTTAATTTATTATAGGCCTTAAAAGAGTTATCTAACTCCTCTACTACTTTTTGTTCTTTATTTTTAACTGATCTAAAGAATGCCAGTGTTATTTTTAGTATGTTATTTAAATATAATATAATTACACCACTTCTTCCTGCTCTTTCCTTCGACCAACACCTACCATGCACCAACCTTCCTTGATATTCAAGATCGAATGTTCTTTAATGATTG